TAAGACAGACTGTCCACAAATGGAGAAAGTTTAGCACTGTTGCTACTCTACCTAGGCGTGGTTGTCCTGTAAAAATGACTGAAAGAGCACAGCGCAGAATGCTGCATGAGGTAAAGAAGAATCCCAGAGTGTCAGCTAAAGACCTACAGAAATCTCTGGCACATGCTAACATTTTTGTGACATGTGAAATAGCATTGTTTCCTATGGTGCCTGTTCACATATGTCCAGCGATGCGAATTCAGTGCAGATTCAGTGCGGTCTGAAAGAGAGTCATGTCTGATTTCTGAACAGTGCTGTCGGGTTCAGGTGCGGATTACAGGCTATTGACTTCTATGGAAACTGTTTCTAAACCACACGTGTGAACAGGGTGCAAAACAGTCTAGCACTGGCCCTGGTTGTAGGTGTTGAGAGCTCTGTAATCAAAACAACCAAAACAAAGAACTAATACTTGGGATATCATATGAGTGTATGCCTCTGCTCAAAAAATTGCTACCCAAGTGGTCTTCTCTAGCCATGGTACATAACTTGGACCTACCACTTAAGAGTTAACAGAACTAGGTTGACAGCAAGCATGAGGATTTTATTTTAACAATAAGCCCACTTTTGATATGGGGAATGTTAAGGACCTGGAAAGCCAGTTAAAGAAAACTAATCAACTAGCCGTGGGCAATATGCGCATCTCAGCAGGAGATTCTTGGCAGATCTGGATGATGGTAATTTGTTGAAGCTATACATGAGCAAGAGGAATATTATTATTATTATTATTATACAGTATTTATATACCGCTAAAAGGTTTGCTCAGCGCTGTACATTATAGTGGGGGACAGAACATGAGACAATACAGTAACAAAACAAAACACGAGGGGGTCAAGGGCCCTGCTCTTTCGAGCTTACAATCTAGGATAGAAGTTTTATTGTAAATATTATACAGGAATAAACCTGACCAGAAAAGCTGGGCTAAAGCCTAGTACATACAATGAGAATATTGCATGAATGATTGTCCATTTTCTTTTTGTATGCTAGTCTCTATATCGAAAATGAAGAAGTTACTCTACTTATGAAAATTCTCATACAACAGAATAGAATTTTGAAAGTGATGTTATGTATTGTATTGTATTTGTATTGTATTTTCAGACGACTACTGTACTGATTAAATGAAAATTGTATGATCTGGTATCGTACAAGATAAATGTTCACCTCTGTCTCTTCAAATATTGTTGCATGAACTGTTCAGCTCTTGAAAGCTGTGCACTAACAATCAGATTATCAGATGATCGCTCCTCGTATGAAAACTTTTGTACAATTTTCTTATCCTGTGTAGGGGCCTTAAATGCCGGTTCACATAAAGTATATGCGGGTTGGATGCGGTTTGAACAGCACCTAATCCACATGACAGTGGATCAGTCATGTCTGATTTCTGAACAGTGCTGTCAGGTTCAGGTGCGGATTACAGGCTATTGACTTCTATGGAAACTGTTTTTAAACCACACGTGTGAACAGGATAAAATCCTGACCTAATCCTGTCCTGAACCTGATGTAAACCTGACGTGAACCAGTGAACAACTACTGTGTCAATTAACTGTGAAACCTAAATTTCAATCCGCACTGCACATGTGTGAATCAGCTCTAATAGTCACTGCCACCTTACTGTAAAGCTTAGCCGTGGCCTGGCCAACTGTCATTTTTCTACACTCTCTCTCTCTATTTTATTGCTTCTGTGTCCCTGTTCATGAACTAGTCCCTAGTTTCCTATCACTTGCACAGAAAGTTAGAGAAATCTTTGCCAATGGTGATACAGGTAGGCATAAAAACCCCACAAAAGTTCTAACTATTCTATACTATAACTATAACAGGTGTCTCCAAAACTTTTTAAACAAAGGGCCAGTTTACTGTTCTTCAGACTTTAGGGGGGCCGCACCATCGGGAGTAGAAAATGTTGCAGAATCAGTGGGAGTAAATAATGTCCCATCTTTGGTGTCAGTAAGGGGAATTGTGCCCCATCGATTCTGTGATTGGGAGGAATTGTGCCCCATTATTGGTGTCATTGGTGGGAAATGAGCCCCATTGTTAATGTCATTGGGAGGAATTGTGCTGAATTGTGTCATTAGATGAAATGGTGCCCCAAGGATAAAAGCAAGCAAAGGGGTGCATCTGGCCCCTGGGCTGTAGTTTGGAGACCACTGCTCTATAACATGCAAAGCTAATATGCAGTGTTACTCTTTTTAGCTGAGTTTTAATCTGCCCTCTCTGTTGCCCTGGTCCTTATATTTTGCCTTCCTGCCCCCTCCCCCTCCCTATCAACATGGTAAAAAAATGTAAAATACATTATTTCAGCTTTCATAACATACCGTATTTTTCGCTCCATGAGACGCACTTTTTTCCCCCCAAAAAAGGGGTGAAAATGTCAATGCGTCTTATGGAGTGAATATGGAGCGGCCGGTCCGGTATTTCCACCACCACCATGTCAGAATACCGGGGCCGGCCGCTCAGCTCTGCAGCGGGACCTTATGGAAATGACTGCTGACCTTTGGGGAGGTGGGAAGCGGTTACCTGAATTAGACAGGTACCCGCTCTTACTTCCGCGGAGTTATTCTTTGATCTTACCTGTTCCTCTATCCAGCCGCGCGCTGTCTTCCCGGCTTCTGTAGTGTCGGCGCTCGGCATGACAGCCGGGTGCCAAGTGTGCAAGCTTTTTGTGAATGGTAAGGCGGTACCTGGGACACATGACAGATCCCAGAAGCCGCCGGACCAATCACAAGGCGCAAGTGCTTCTCGCCCATGCGCACTGGGCACCCGGCCGTCATGCCAAGCGCCGACACTACAGAAGCCGGGAAGACAGCGTGCGGCAGGATAGAGGAACAGGTAAGATCAAAGAACAACTCCGCGGAAGTAAGAGCGGGTACCTGTCAAATTCAGGTACCCGCTTCCCCCCCTTCCCCAAAGGTCAGCAGTCATCTGTACTGTCCGCAGTCTCTGGTCATCTCCTGTACTGTCCGCAGTCTCTGGTCATCCCTGTGCTGTCCGCAGTCTCTGGTCATCCTTGTGCTGTCCGCATTCTCTGGTCATCCCTGTGCTGTCCGCAGTCTCTGGTCATCTCCTGTACTGTCCGCTGTCTCTGGTCATCCCTGTGCTGTCCGCAGTCTCTGGTCATCTCCTGTACTGTGTCCGCAGTCTCTGGTCATCTCCTGTACTGTCCGCAGTCTCTGGTCATCTCCTGTACTGTGTCCGCAGTCTCTGGTCATCTCCTGTACTGTGTCCGCAGTCTCTGGTCATCTCCTGTACTGTGGCTGCAGTCCATTAGTTCAGAATTTTTTTTTTCCTGTTTTCTGCCTCTAAAGCAGGCTAACTCTTGGGAGAAATTATGTGAATATCAAAATTCCTCCAAGAGTGAAATATATTTCTGCAGGAGTGGGCATCACTAGGTAGGCTGTATTTGCATACAGAATGCCCTAGGTAACAACCACATGCAATGATGAGCCTCTATGACTGCTATGACTGAAAGAAGTAAATACAATGAATAAAAAGGGGCAGGCCAGGGACAGACAGGCTGGGGAATGAAGGGCTGGGTAATTAAACTTCCAGCAGAGGTAGTGAGCCAGTCAACAGTAAATAGCTTTCAACATGCTTGAGATGCATCGATCTATACTCAGACAAAAAGGTAACTAAAAAAAAAAAACAACCCCCACACACACAGCAGACTCGATGGACCACTCGGCCTTTTCCTGCCATCGCTTTTCTATGTTTATATGCTGAATATCCTCCAGCCACAAAATGAGACAGGCTCTGTCTGACGTGCTGCAGCTTCTAATGCACACTGTCTGAAGCTCACAGTGTGCAGTGAAATCAAAATAAGAAGTTTCAGTAGAGGAGTATGAACAACTGTGCTAGACTGAAGGTGTAGCTGGAATTCCACTTTAAGAGAGCTGGTTGGGGGTGAAACTTTCAAAAGAACTGGAGTAGAGACCCCAGGAAGGCTGGGTGTGAAAATGAACAGCCTCACCCACCTCACCCAATCCCAAGAGCAAAGACTTTTGAAGATCCTTCTGTGAAGCTTCTGTCTGCTTTTACAGATGTTAGTTAAATTTCTAATTAGTATTTGACAAAGTTTCCTCCAGCATTACAAAAGCCTAATTGGCCAGCATCTCCTTTTGTGTATTATTTTTGCTACATATTTTTTTCTCATTGCATCTATGGAAGAAAAAGTAACAAGCAAATGTGCAATCAAGAACCGGGGGCTATTAGTCATTTCCTTAAATACAAAGGCCAAGCCTGATCCGCCCAGATGAAGCTATTAAAAGGAATTTCTGATTGTTTCCTATCTTCCTGTATTACTTCTCATGTTGAAATGCAGCCCACACAAGTTCAATAAATAGCATTGAATTAACTTCAGGCAGCCTAGGGCTCAAGAGGTATAAAACAGTAAAGGACAGCCAATGCTGGGACTTGTAGTCCCAAAGCAGCTGTAAATCCATGGACTTTATATGGTACACTTTTGACCCAGGACATGCCCTTGTTCTTCTTCTACAGTAATATTATTCTGAGTAGCGTGACTTTTATTTAAATCTGCCATTAGGGGGTCTGCAGACAACGCCATTCAAATGGTTGCACCCAACCTTAATGTGTATACTGTTACTTTAACCGAATAGCAGACTACTTAAGTCAAGGTGCTCTCTTCTGAGTGACAGATTCCATTTAACATTTTTTTTAACATACTGCCATAAAAACTGTGTATGTATACAGTATATATATATATATATATATATATATATATATATATTTATTTTTTGTTTTCTTGTAATGTGTTATAATTGGATATACTGTATAGTATTTCATAGTTTTCACCTGCTTTTAGGGAGCTACACTTTTCATATCTTTCCAGTCGTTGCCTATGTGCCTTGATGGAATTTGTAGATCCCCAGCATCTGGACATGCATGAAATTGCCAATATTAATAATTAATAGTAATTACACAATTATTGATCTTCCATAAAATCTCCTTACCTGGGCATGCCTGCGGGTAGTCATAACAGCAATCCATGGCAGACTGGCACAGCTGGTCACAGTAACACGTCCCATGTTTCCTGTCCATCCTCCAGCCCTGGCTAACACATTTCAAATCTCTACCTTTACAGCACTTCCCAGCCTCCAAACACCCAGCTTCAGCCAAGCCAAGGAGTCCCATCAGACCCAGCACAGTCATCCAGACACATCTGCTTCTGTTGGTGCCCAGATCCATCACTGCACCACCACTCACAGTCCAGGCTGATTGAAGTCTTCTCTTAGTGAGCTGCCTGCACTGACATTGCTTCTGCTGGGCTCACTTCTCTCCAATAGGTTCCTGCTGACTTCATCCACTGATAACTGTCATATTCATTCAAACCTAAAAGTCTGGCTTATGATTCTCAGAGGGGAGCTTTGGCTTGTCCCTGGTCATCCAAACATCAGGAATAAATAGCAAACAGAAGGAGTTCTTGTAAATTAATAGAAATGGATGTAGAGAGTGCTGAACGCAGGTGATGCGGCTTCCCATACAGTGACAGTGAGCAGAGAGTGAGCAGAGTCCACACTGTCCCCTCCCAGACTTCACACAGCCTGCAGGAATGTCAGAGTTTGGCTCTTCCCCAGTGCAGAGGGGATGAGGTTGTGTGCGCAGCAATGGGATGAGCACAAGCACACATACCACCTCCCCTCCATCACAATCATTCACCAGCCAACACTAAGTATATTTACATTTCTTTATATGTTCTATCATGTCTGCCATATATACTGTATGATGATTTTTTTTTCTGATAACACTCCCTGGAATCCAGAAAGAGTGTTCTAGATACTCTGTAGAAATCTATCTTGTGGTAGAGAAACTATTTGGAGAGGAACGTAAAGCAGTTTTTCAGTCACTTTTTAAAAAATAAAAAGTCAGCGGCTACAAATACTGTAGCCGCTGACTTTTAATAATAAGACTCTTACCTGTCCAGGGATCCAGCACTGTACTCACCTGGGCCAGTTGTTCACTGCTCTCTGGGTCCCCAGCAGCACCATGCAGAATGCTCCCCACTGCTCATGCAAGAGCCACACTGTGCTGTGTGAATGGTCCCTCAGCCTTCCAGGACCTGTGATGTGTCCCGTAAAGCAGGGAGGGAGACGAGCTAACTTCTGGCAAAATTGACCAGGCAAATCCAGTGGACGTGGGGAGAGGGAACCTGTCAAACTAGCTACATGCTCCCCCCTCCCCTCCAAAAAATGAGGTTCCAAAGGTAGTAGAAGAGGAGGGGGGTGAGGAGAAGGAAAAGTGGACCTTCCATTTTTCACTGAAGTTCTGCTTTAAAGACAAATTCTGCACCAAGTTGTTTGAAAGACACATTTAAAAGTTTATTCCAACATGGAAGAGGTTTTTCTTAACCTCCATTTTCATTATCACTGATTTGGGGGTATTTGTGTATGAATGTTTTGCAGCAATAGCACCATACAGTAAAGGTGATCTCTGTCCAATAGTAGAAGTATAGTCCCAGTCTGATGTCATCAGGGAATGAGCGGCCCATGAGCGCGTTGTCGGGTTTGTAAAAAAAAACAGAGTGGGTTGAAGTTACCAGCACTGCCACTGACCACCTGTCACGTACCTGGTGATGGAGCCTGACACTGAGAAAAAGGTGATTTCTTACACCTAGGGTTTGGTACCCTTGGTAAAGTGACAGGAGGCATTAGAGCCTTGAGTGGCATGAGTGCCTGGCAGTTCTGGTGGAGACGGCTGCAGATGAGAAGTCTGTGCACACTCGGGTGCAAGCTGAGTTGTGATGCAGGGCAGCAGGCACAGCTGGCTGGTAGACAGTCAGCAGGCACTTGGCAGGCTGGCAGATCACAGACAGGAGGCACTTGGCAGGTCACAGACAGGAGGCACTTGGCAGGTCACAGACAGAAGGCACTTGGCTTGCTGGCAGGTCACAGGCAGTAGGAACTTGGCAGGCTGGCAGATCACAGACAAGAGGCACTTGGCTGGCTGGCTGGCAGGTCACAAACAGGAGGCACTTGGCAGGCTGGCAGGTCAGAGACAGGAGGCACTTGGCAAGCTGGCAGGTCACAGGCAGGAGGCACTTGGCTGGCTGGCAGGTCACAGGCAGGAGGCACTTGGCTGGCTGGCAGGTCACAGGCAGGAGGCACTTGGCAGGCCATAGGCAGCAGGCACTTTGCAGGCTGGCAGATTACAGACAGCAGATGCTTCTCAGGTTGCAGAAGTAAGGATGGCCACCACAGGCTGGACACAGAGCAGGGTCAGGCAATCTGGGTCAGACATTAGCAGGCACATCAGAGCAGCGGGCAGAAGAGTAGTCAGCTTCAGGTTGGAGATGGCAACGGTAAGCAAAAAGACAGAAGTATCAGGCAGAGACGTCCACAGGGGTCCACAGGGGTCAGTTTAGCCACAGTTCAAACGTGGTCAGACAGATCAGGATGGCAACAGGAGATCGGGCACAGGAACAGGTAGTAAGTAGCAGAACGCTGTAGACCATAAGGCAAAGTCCTAATGCAGCACAGATGTTTAAATAGCCTACAAGATGCCAATCTAGTGGCGGTCGTGTGCACCGCCGTGCGCTTCAGCATAAACACGCGCTCCAGCATAAGCACGCACATGGGTTCAGGCTAACAGGAATTCTCAGTCTGCGCATAACTATGCACCTGGGCACATTTCGCCTTTCCTGACACTGGCTAATAGGAATTCTCCTTCTGCTCATAACTATGCGTCTGGGTACATCTTTCCTTTCCTGATACCATCAATGCGGAGTGGGGGTTAGTGTGTTTTTTTTTTGTTCAATCAGCACAGCTGTAGCACTGATCAGTGTATTGTGACAGCGGAGGAGTCCCTGCTGTCAGAATACAATAACACAGCAGAGAGGATTCCTCCATCCATCTCACTTGTGTGGATCGGGGAATCTGTTCAATCTCTTTCGATCAGTCCACACGTTAAGAGAGGCCCACACTACAGAATTCTTTCTATTTGCTGACTATTCAAGTGCTCATGCACAGTCCAGATATTAGCCAATTTCTGCCAAACACTTACTTGAAGTCTATATTTTTAATATTTTAAAAATAATTGGGGATACAGGTAGGGATGCACTGAAATTTAGGTGGTCGAAACGTTTCGGCCAAAAACACCCCTTTTGGTCGTTGGCCGAAATGAAAAAAAGTACTAATACAGGTGCCGAAAAAACCCTGCTCCTAGCCAGCACCCACCCACTGTCACCGCCTGCCCGTCGCCACTGCCGTCACCGGCCGCCGCTTGGCAGTTCTCAGCCTTATACTATTTAACCACTGGCCAACTGGTACGAGGTTGAGGGCTTTAGCTTTATTTAGTTATTAATTTTTGGTAAATTTCCTTTAGCTTTTAAATCTATTGTGGTTCCTACTTCTATTCCTAGTTCCCATTCAATTCAGGCTTATTATAGTTAGATTTAAAAAAAGTATCACAGCCAAAACAATTTTTTAAAAGACCTTTTAAGTTGTAATGAATCAGATTAAGGTGCTGCTGTTGTATTTAGGTCAAACAACTATGTAACAGAAAAAAATCAATTGCACATGCAAAATATGTGATACCAGAATACGGTGTCATTTACACTTCCTGTGAGAATCATACTGTTTTATAACATCGCATACAGCTCAAAGACATCTTACAAACATGCATTTTAAAGGACTGGTGTTTTTCCCATGTCATCCTCAAAATCAAATTATAGGGTGGAACCTTTCTCCGCAGTATGGTATGTTTTAAATTTTAATTTGCATTTGGTGCATGTCCCCTATGACTGTGCCCAACTCCCCAAGCCATTTGTTTGGCAATCTCTTGCTTGGTAGCCTTGAAAAGGGCCAGAATTGATTTTCAAGATTTGTCTCTATAGACTTCAGTAGAGTTTCAATTTAATTTTAAACTTTTCAGACTTTATACAGTGGGTTTGATGAATGCTCCACAAAACAAACCTATTCACATTCATCATCCCTAATGATTATCAATGATGGAGGTGGTGATGCTAGCGGAACTGTCACTGTTCATCAATGCAGGCAGGTGTTAACAGCAATGCTACTGACCACCAATGTCGGGGTTAATATTGTGGTCACTGATACCAATGTCAGTGGTTATAGTTGTGGTCACTGATACCAGTGACGGGGGTTATTATTGCAGCTGCTAATACCAGTGTTGGTTATCATTGAAGCCACTGACAACAGTGCTGAGGTTTATTATTGTGGTCACTTGCATCAATGCTAGGGTTATCACTCAGAAAATTGACACCAATTCCGAGGGTTATTATTGCAGTGACTGACACCAGTACTAGGGGTTATTAGTCACTGACACCAATGCTGGGCATTACCATCACTTCAATGCATGAAAATTAGCTGCCATTCTGTGGCCCTCTAGGTGTTTGTTGGCTTTTATCATTTTCAAGTTGACCATCAATGGTCACTGGAATGATTTGAAGAGTCTCAGAGCTCCACCTGCTAAGTGCACATGAGAATAGAAAATACTAAGTTTCATGCTTATTTGTCAAAAACATATAAAAAAATTTTGTTTTAAACATTTTAATTTTGCGTTCTGATGTATAATATATTCCCTTTTACAGGATGAGGGGTTAACTAAGGAAGGATTGTTTTTTAGGTTGGGGTACTTTTTACCAGTCTACCTTCTGTCAGTTTTGCAGTACAATTTCACTTCACAACGTTTTATTCTGAACTTTTATAAATGGGAGGAAATGTTAGTTCTGAAATAGGATGAAGTGCATTGAAATAAAAAGCAATTATTTTTAAAAAGGCCACTTAATGTTGTCATAAGCATCTTAACTGAAATCCCGAGTCTGCACGAAGACTCTAAAGAATGTTTTTTTCCTCTGCTCAATTGTATAATGGAACAAAGGATCTCAGAAAAATAGCTGTACAGGGCTTGGAAAGAGGCTGTAAGCACTTGGCAAACTCCTGTATACATAAAGATCTATTTATGGCCATTGGTACGTTTGCAACATTGCAATTTGATTTCTGTTTTCATGTTGAATTGTTTTTCTTTAGTAACCTAAAACAACATGCTCCTGTGATAATCAGTTATTTGAAATCAAGTCATCAAATTAATCCAAATGCTAGCTGACCTTACAAAAATGGAAGGAAAAAAGGAAAATCAGGAGATTTCAGCAAAAAATTATGACCAATTTTTTATAAGGTATTGCAGTCAATTGAGAAAGCGGAGAGTTAAAGTTGTTTTTAGGAATGCAA